GAACCAAGCCGAACCATCGGAATTAATCCCGATGTATCTATACGAAGAATCAAGTTGATTTCTAATCAACTTGCTCTTCTCGTTGTATATATAGCCTAATGTTTCCCTTTGAACAACAAGATAATTAATACCTCTGAACTACAACATCGACCAATAATTCTTGATAAGCGCCTTAAGTTCGGCAAAGAATTCCTCGATAGGGTTAAAATCCGGAGAATAAGGCGGTAAATATATTAATTTAACGCCTGCATCATAACACAGTTGCTTGATTTGGTCCGAACGATGGAATGATGCGTTGTCCATCACAAGTACGGATTTGGGCTCTGGCCACATGCCACAGGGCTGGAGAAGCTGTTCAATAAAAGATTCAAAGAATGAAGCATCAGTAGAACCTTGAAAAATACGAGACAAGATGACGCCATCTTGTGCATAGGCTGGCAGTATCTGATAACGTTGGCCCCGATGAAGTTTGGATACACACACACACACACACACACACACACACACACACAAATTCACTAACGCCCGGCGGCTGAACCGAACGTGCAACTATCACTGATCTAAATATACATGCTTTTTAGCTAATGCTGTGCCTCCTTGGAGCCCATACAAGATTTCTTTCAGTTTATGTCATCTCGGATGTCAATATCTTAGCGGGTCCTTGTGGGTTAGTGTTTAACCAGCAGACTTGCTTGAAGGCGCTTCTCCAAGTGTTCAACATCCTATCCTCGGCAGTTGAAGCGCGTCTACAGTCTCTGGCACAAGGTAGTTAGTTGGTAGGGTTTAGATTGGGGATGGGGTGGGGTAGGGTTAATTTGTGTTCGTCGATATGGTTAAGCGGCGTCGAGTCGGCCCGTGGCGATTGCAAACCGTATTGAGGCTCACACTGCTTCCAACTTCGGCTTCCAGTTCTGGTCATCCAAAGGCGATTTTACGCCCAGGAAAAATGATATGCTGCCTCGGTGAGTGTGGGTACATTGCAGCATTTCCGTCCGGTGTGTGGTCCACCGTTGACATCGAAAGAGGAAGTGCTCCACGGTCTCTTTTGCTTGCCCACATGCACATTGATCTGTCTCTGCGACGTTGATTCGGCAGAGATATCATTTGAGTCTTGCCATGCCAGTCCGGAGCTGGGCTAGCACACTCGCTTCCTTCCACGATAATCGATCGTACAGCTTCCGGGTATGTTTTCCTGGGAGTGCTGCATCCACTCGTTTGGATTGTTTCCCTACATTCTCTGGCAAGCAGTAGAAGTCGAGAACAGATATATACACTCCTCGACACAGTCGGTTTCTTTCTCAGTGCCCGACTCTCAACAGGCTAAGCTTAATGAGGAAAGAGGGTGCACCCTTGTTGGGGACTTTCGGCATTTTGATTGGCTGTACGAGCGACCTGAAACTGGCCGATCCGGAGTTGGCTCTAGAGTGGGTTGCTGGGAAAGAAAACGTGTGTCTAGAGTGGCACTAAACCCAGACTAGAAGCGCATTAAATAATCGACTTGTCTCGATTGGACTTGCTAAACTGGTTTCGGTTTGAGGATCGAGGATATAGCTAGTGTTGGAGCAAATATACCTAATTCGGCATAGTGGACATGTAAGCGACATCAGGAGATGTTGATACTCAAATGGTACGCCCAATCATGTCCATGGATAGTTGTCTAAATTGTTATCCTCGTACGCACACACCAATTTGTATGCGTCCGACTATGACTAAGGCTCTTGGCTAAATTACAATGACCATGCCTTACAATACCAATTCTCCACCGATACTGACAAGAGAGACACTAATCGCTTCAGCGTTTAAATGGCTATCTAAAGGGAAGAAAGAACTGGGTAGTTCCCTGCAAGACGAATTTTTGTATTTATTTATTGGTGGTTTCTGTAAGCAAGACACAAAAGACCTAGAGCACAGAAATCTCGAGGTTCTCCCGTATAGCCCGAGGGTTCGGAATAGGTCGGACTTGGCTCTTCCACAGAGGCTGAAATAAATCTCTCGTAAAAGACCTGGGTGGTGTCAAACTATAAGGAAATGCACGGACCTAGGCTTCGGATGGAGAAGCGCTTGTCGGTTAGCAAATGATTTTAGTCCCTTTGTGCTTCAGCCAAGGTGTGTAACTTACCACTTTTGTGGTACCAGCCTTCAAAGAAACGCTGTGGTGAATTGAAGGGTTTGGTCACGATTCACCGCCCAGTGCCCACGAATGTTTTCCTCATGTGACCATCACGTTGAACCTCCAAATTAATGGTGAACTAATTCCGTTTCTGTAAGATTTTATCATTTAAATTGCGATCGGGTTGGTCTAATTTCATTTTCATTTGAAATAGGAATCCATTTGATCAATGGTCTGCTTTCCTACTGATTTTTAAAATCTGAGCAGCCTTTTCCCTTCGATACCCACTGCTTAATTCCAGCAGCAGGATAAGGTCCATTTGATACCTGGACTTGACTTTGCTACGCTCAAATATTGAAAGTATCTTTCTCAGCTAGGCACATGGCTGGATTACTCCCTTCCTTGACAAGGTGTTGACTGCTTCTATTCAACCGTTCAGAACTCTTCTGGATTTTTTGCGTGTTTTGCCTAGAACAAACCGACTTACCGAATATATATTTACCAGTACGGTGTTTTCAACGGCTAATATGCTAAGCGGTAGAATATGAGTATGGAATGAATTTTGAATTATTTTCATCTACCCAATTCACAAAACTCAGGGCAGTATATTGAAATGTCAAGATTAAATTATGAGCTACGGACCTTGAAGAACTGAGTGGCCCCAAAAACCACGACCTACAGCAGTATGATTCTTCGCGTGGTCTCATAGAAGCCGCAATAGCCTCTGAATTGAATGCCCCACTCGGTAGAGGAACAACGAGGGATCAAGATGTAGTTAGTGTCTATGCATATTAGCGGTTAGCGAGGCAGTAAGCCTTAGGTCACGCCAGCAATTACACATGCATTATCACAATTTGGAGATGAATGTCATGTTTTCAGGTCAGATGTCGCCAAGTACTTAAGGCAGACTTTTCAAAGCCTTACAGAGCCTTGGTTTCAGAGCGGCAATTCGGCAGTCCATAGATCGCGGAAATCTCCTCTTTGAGGTTGTAGTGAGGGAAAATGGGGCCATCCTGGGTAAGGAGCACGACCGTCATACATTTCTAGGCAAGGACATTTCACGAGCTAAGAAAGCCTTGGAGCAATAAATCTACGCGAAGCTATTGAGCACATAAGAAAATTCTCGCAGCACGGCTATCCTGATTCAGACAGGCAGAACGATGGAATACTTCCATTTACCCGAAATCCCGAAATCCCAAATCATGAGAAACCCCGAATTCCTTCTCTCAACCGAGCGCAAGTAGTCTAAAAATAGAGACGCGGCCAAGAACAATAAAATACCTCATGTAAGACATGAATGTTTCCCAAGAGACTCTTTAACATCATTGGGTTGGGGGTGTCTGATATGCCGTTTTCCGGTGACTCGGTGAACGTCCGCTGCACAGAGAACGATATCAATATTCCGAGATACTGGCACACCGACTCACACTGCCGTTATCTCACGGTGATCAATGATCCAGCCCTGATAAGTCCCAATTTTGCCAGAGCTCTGGGCTTGGTGTCATATTTGCGAGAAGAAAAGTATAGTATAAAAGGCACACAAGAGAATTGTCCATCGTTCTAGGTATTGTCAACGCTACATACAAGCCAGAATATGCTACATTGAGGGTCTTTATAAAATCTTTACTTCTTGCTTGTATCTTCACAATGCTATTCTCCTCGCTGTTTCTTCTCCCATTAGTCGCATTGGGCACAAGCGTGAACGCACTTTCTACAATCACCCAGCCACTCGCGAACTACAAATGGCCAACTCAGTTTGTTCGAAGCGGCGAGGCAAACATTCAAGTCCTCGTCCAGGGCGCAGGACCGACTGTTGTAATTCTACCTTCCTACGGGCGAGATGGTGGTGATGATTACAATTACTTCACTGATTCCCTAGTCGATGCAGGGTACCTCGTGCTGCGTCCTCAGCCACGCGGTACCTTCGAGTCTACAGGACCAATGACCAACGTGACTCTGGAAGAACTTGCGGCAGACGTTGCAGCTGTAATTGATACACTGGGTGGGGCCCAAGCCATCGTGATCGGCCACGCTTTCGGCACCTTCCTCGCCAAGGTCAGCTCTGTCCTGTATCCGGAGAAGATCCCTGCAATCGTTGTGGCAGCTCCAGGTGGCATCGAACTGCCGACCAATATCGCCGGAATACCTTTTATCACTGGAAACACCTCTTTGCCTATTTCCGACCGCCTTGTTGCTCTTCAAACGGCTTTCTTTGCGCCTGATCACGACGCGCATATTTGGTTGGACGGTTGGTATCCTGACGTGCTTGCTACGGAGCACGCGGCTGTGGAAGCCTACGGAAGGTTGAGTTCACACTGGGGTGGTGCCGATACCGCACAGGTTCTGGAGGTGATTCCGGCGGATGACCCGTTCCAGCCGAAGTCCCAATGGAATGTCACTACAAACCTATATCCGAACCGAGCTACCTTAAAAGTCATCGCCGATGCCTCTCATGCCCTGTTCCCTGAGTAGGGGAAGGCTGTTGTGGAGGCAATTCTGCCTTGGTTAAATCTTCAGAGCTCTAAGATTTGAAAAAAGGTATCTGTGAAGGAGATGAGTACGGGAGACGAGAAACGAGTTGTAGAGAGTGAAACCTTCATTGGATATACAGAGTTGAAAGGTTAGAAAGAGCGGTTCGAGCCTGAATACAACGGCGGAACTTGAATAGAATCAGATAGGCAGTGATACATTAAATAGAGAATTTTTTTCTTGGTATTCTCCTAAGACCCCACAAATTCGCAGATGCTCATTAGCCTGTAAGAATTTAAGGCATAGTCCCTGTTCGATATGAAAATACTGATTCCCGATATGAATAGTTCGACTATGGAGCTAGGAATGGCGGATTCTGGGAGACATGACCCAAAAGAGAATCCAAATTCTTGAAGCTTTTTTAGGACATCATTGTTGATAAATATTCCCCCTCTTGCGACTCGCCCAACATTCGCTGCACACATTGCATCATCTCATACTGATAGGTCTGCTCCTTGATGACAAGAGGATTTCCAGCATTCGTAGACTTTTCCATGTAGGCCATCTCGTCAAGTACCGGGCGTCCATTTCTTAAAAAGTGGACCGCCAGGCGATAAAGAGATAGACTGTTTGATATAAGGATGCTCCCTGGCTTTTCTTCGTGAAGATTGTGGGATTCTCTTCTGAACTGCTTCCACATGACATACCATGTTTGTAGCCCTCGTTCTAGCGCAGACAGATCCACTGGCAATAAGGACGTCTGGGCTTCTAACAGTAGTGTATGCATTGCCAAGACCAGTAGGTTCAAGCTAAAAATGTTTATGTTTGATTCTGCGGTGACCTGACCGACTATCAAGCCCCTCACAGAGGATAGGAAACAGCTCGACGAATCCTGAGCCGGGAGCTCGGCCCACAAAGATGCAGAGTAAGCATTCCAACTCGAATTATCACAAGGAAAAGATGCTCTTGTATCTGTTGGCGAGAGAAGAGGCTTGCTACCACAGAGTATTGATTGGTAGCAGTCTACTGTGTAAACACCCCAGAGAACTCTCTTCTCTGATTCCTTTCGAATCCACGCTGTCCATGATTGGGCATTTCGTGCCGCTTTGGAGCACTCCCCGTGAATTTTGAGGAACCCTGTATGCCGTATATTTGTGACAAGGAGTGGATGCAATAGTCGAGAGGCAACCCGCTCAGCGACTCCCCCATTCGCCATGGTAGCAAATTGCAAAAAGACCAACGCTTGTATTTCTTCAAAATCTAGGGACTGGTCATCGGACCGGAGGCAACATTTAGCAAATACCGATGGGAGGGATCCATAGATAAGCCTTGCGTCCAAGGTGGCTGATGGGTGACTGCCAAAGCTGGCACCGATGAAACATATCGTTCGAACAAGCACCGACGGTGACGAGGCGAGGCAGAATGTTGGGATATGCAATAGAGGTAGAAACTGGTGAAAGTGAGAAAAGAAAAGCCTTGCATACGTCTCCAATCGGAGCACTTGAATAATTTCTGGGCGTTCTAGTTCCAGACAATAGTCGGCCGGAAGCCGGAAGTTGTCAGGGCAAAGAATTCCTTCACAAGTTGTGTTTTCCGAAGACACCGATGAGTCTGGCAGCGTGGTAATATCCTCTTGGGCCAGGATAGGATGACCGAGTATTGATTTCAGATCCTCTGGGCTCCATGCCCAGGAGCCCACGTCAACGAAGTTTTCGATATCAGCTAGCTGAGTTAGAATGTCGGGTTGATCGACCGATGGTGTGTCCAGGAACAAGGGGTTGACGGGCTGCTCATTCAATGGCGCCCAGTCGGGACTCTGATCTTCACAGGCTGTTTGTGGCGTATCTGACGATTGCCTTGAGGTGCCTTTCGTGGATGTTCCAGTCCGCTTCTTCCGTCCGGCTCTTACACATGGGCAACCTTTTTGCAGACATCGCAAACAGGAAGATCCCTTTCGGTCAAGATCACATCGAACCTTAGAAGCGGCGCAAGCGACACAGCTCTTGTTCATTTTCTATCTTTGAGCATAGGCGGTCGGTAATAGCGACATCGGGGATTGTGGAAGAGAAGACAAAAAAAATACCGTAGAGGCGCAACCTTCCGATGCGAAGCTCCACACTCAGCCCGACGGGGCGTTCATTTAGTACGACCCGCTGATTGATCCGTATAAATACCGTAACAAAGAATACCATGGCCGTTTAGGCTGTGTTAGTGCTTACTGTAGACAACATGGGTTGAACAGATTCTTATCGTGCTGCATAGTCTAGAATGACCCGAAATCCCGAAATCCCGAAGGCAAAGGTCCGTAGGATTTCGAAGCAGATGCTGACTGCTATATTATGTTCACTATTTTACCACAAATATGACTCTATCTTTCCCATCGAAGTCAGCTTGGTTGAATATTAATATCTCAATCTTTCGATTCCGGAATTAGGAGAACAACAAGTCGGATCAGAATGTCGGAAACCAAATCCACCGAGACAAGGGAAATGTGTACTTCGCCAACTCAAACATAGTTCGATCGATTCTGTCTTATGCAGAAACTTCAAGATCCAAAGACTCATTCCTCGTGGCAGAAACTTGTCATTGTCTCGATCGTCACTCTATCTGCCTTCACCGCGCCCTTTGCCTCCTGCATCCTCTTCCCGTCCTTCACCATTCTCGTCGATCATTTTCATACTACCGAGACCAAAGTCGCCTTAACAACGACTGTCTTCCTTCTGGGCTTAGCAATCGCGCCGCTGTGGTGGAGTACCCTGAGCCAGGAGTACGGCCGCAGACCTGTGCTAGTATTCAGCTTTCTGCTCTCAACGGTAGCTGTAATCGTCTGCGCCGTTTCAAATTCACTCCACATGATCATCACTTTTCGTCTCGTCGAGGCACTCGGCTGTTCCTCTGCACAGAGTGTGGGGGCGGGTGTCATTAGCGATATCTACATTTCCACTGAGAGGGGCTCGGCACTAGGATGGTTCTACCTTGGCACGTTGATCGGACCTTTGATTGCGCCCATCATTGGAGGTGCCCTTCAAGTTTGGCTTGGCTGGCGAGCACCGCTATACTTCATGGCCATCTTCACCTTCAGCACTGCAATTTTCACCATGATATACCTTCCTGAGACATTGTTCAAGGCTTCCGCTGGGGATCAGGAGGGAAAGCTGCGGTGGCATCAAATAGCAAAGCGCGACATTCTGGCCCCTTTACCGAAGTTGAAATTCCTCTTGGTACCATCAATCGCCTTGACAATTGCCTACGTGAGCATCTGCTTTGCCAGTCTCTACTGTTTCAATACGACTCTGCCTTATGCATACGCGGCGCCGCCCTACAATTTTTCTGCTATCGAAATCGGACTCTGCTATATCAGCAACTGTCTTGGGTACGCGATTGGAAGCATTGTCGGTGGTAAATTGAGCGACGCCAAGCTGCGCCAGTTCCAGCTTGCGCATGGTGGAGAGATTCGCCCTGTCGAAAGAATCAAGACCGTCTGGTACGGCGTTGGTTTCGTCCCAGCTGGGCTGATCATCTACGGCTGGTTGGTCGAGAAACAAGTCTTCTGGGTCGCCCCTCTGGTTGGCGCTTTCTTGTTTGGACTTGGCCTCATGCTTGTCACCTCAACTATTATGCCATTCCTCGTGGACATCAAACCAGGAGTGGGTGCTTCGGTTGTGGCTGATTTGAACTTGGTTCGGAACATTCTGGCCGCTATTAGCACTGTTCTGTCGCCGATTGCGGTTTCAAGTATTGGGTTTGGATGGTGGATGACAATTTTGGCATTCTTGTGCTCCTTGTCTGTCTCTTGCATTGTGATTGTCATCCGCAAGGAAGGAATTGAAAGAAAGACGGCGGCTTTAGAATGCCCAGCGTAAGGATTGCCCTTAGTAAGATAGACAAACCATTGTATGACGAGTATAATAACGATAGCTTATAGATTTTCAATTCTTTCCCTATAACCACCACAAAACTAATTATCTAGTAAATTTTTGGATCTGCGTTCAGGCAGACTTCGAGTCTGGTGACTGAGAGTGGTACAGACTTGTCGTCAATGTGGCATGGCATCAGCATAGGCAAACTAGAGACGAGGTAGCAGACGTCAGCTCGATCACAAGTACACGAGGGCCCGGGATCAGTCCGTACCGCAGGGAATGGATATAGGCCATATCTTCCAATGCATAGCCGTTGCGTCTTTGCTATTCGTATGACAGGTAAATCTTCAACTGTGTTAGGACAAGTACCACTAAAGGAGAGATTCATGGAATTTGGTCTAAGTTTCACTAGGAACTGACCTAAAAGCGACTGCTCTCGCGGCAAAAGACCTGGTAGATCCAGTACTGCGGCCCGCCTCGTCACTTGATCAGCTGCAACCGGGTCTGACAGAGCTATCCCTCAGACCGTGGCCAGTAGCTCAATTCCTTACTGGTTGATACTATCCTCGGATTGACCATTGTCTTACTCGGTGGCCGTCGATGCTCGGCTTTTCTTCGTCACTGGATGCTGCGATAGCTCACTCGATCTAGCATGGGACCGGATGATGCCATCGTCAAGGCTTCGAATCGGATAGGGGACAAGAGATGCTGGGCTGTCGGGATACGGAAGCTAATATAGTAACAGTTAACCTTTGGTCAAATAGGATAATCTGGGAGAGATGAAACATGCCGAAACTCTACCATATGCTAATCAAAGGCCACTGAGCCTTCCTAGATTTGTTCCGCCAACGTGAGCGAAATGGACGTTTCAAGCAGGTGTCCTGGAACAGCGATATAGAAACGCACTAGGATTCATTGGCCCGGCCCGACGTTCACTGCATCCTTAGTTTTGAGGACAATGGGGAAGTATGGCTCGGCTGTGGCGAGTGCCGTCTTGAAATTTGTCCTATGATTAGAAAGAATCACCAGCAATCTTTTCCGATGGACAGAGAGAACGACAAGATAAAACCCCAAGTAAATAAAATCTGCACTGAGATCCAAAATGCACCGGTCATGGGAATAGACAGAGGCAACGCACCAGGTTGACTTGGAGGATATCGAGCGGCTCGTGATCGAAAGTTTGCCTTATTATGCAGGAAGTCGTCAGCACAGGATCAATACTCTCCAAATTGCCGCTGATAAAAACTTACGTTGTTAGCTATTGCTGTTCGCTGCATTCTGGCAAGGTCGAAGCGGCTGCGTAAGGATGAATTCGATCTATCATTAATCATCAGTAGGCAGCTTACGAAGGTACTTAATAACTCACCGTGCTCGCAGCTTCGATCATTTTTGAGGTCATCCAAGGTCCGTCAAATGGTTTCCTAGAAGGATAGTAGAGGAGGACTGATCTTGAGCATATTCCATGTCAGCATGATTTCAAATGACGGGGCAGCTACACTCCCTTGCTGTTTGAAGACATCAGCATCGAAAAATGACAGTCGAGTGTCATGTAAAAGGTTATTTTAATTATAAGTGCATGGCTTCGAGGCCAGTCCATACAGAAGTGTTGCTGGCGAAGACAAAAAGCGGTCGATATTCTTTGCCCCAGAGTGACAAACGGATGTTTGAGACCGAATGTTCTGTTGGGGAAAGCTAGTGTATTTATAGCATTCCAGCCGGGCATTCTGCTTTTGTCGATGCGATGATCATTGTGAATTGTGAGGGCACAAACACAGATGACTCTCCAATTGCAGCTGGTTCAACATTTCATCATTGATTCAATGCAGCACTCGAAGGCATTGAATTTTTCCTGATGACCAGCATATGAATTGTTTTTCTCACTGTTGGTATCGTTGAAACGGTCGCGAAAATGCCGCAGAGAAGCACCGATGATGCGTATCAACATTCACCACCTTGTGTCTGTACGTTATTGCGATGGGCGGGGAGGCAACCTTCACTAACCGATAATGAGCGCATTATTTACTCCAAGATTGCCCCATCAATAATGAATAACTATCAAGCGATGATTCAATCCTGGCTACCTACTAGCCCAAACGCATAATGCTCTGTTCAAGCAGATACAAGCTATGGTGCAGCTTGGGATTGATCCACACAGCCCACATCTCACCAAAGATTTCCTTCAATAGTGAGTGAGTTAGGTGAAATCTAGGCAGAGTCCAGCGTGTTGTCGTTGTCACGCGCAGCGGCCCTGAAATGATGAATAGGGGAGGACCACGGAAACGAGAGGGCAAGAAAATAGATGAATTAGCAAGCTGTAACTAATGTCAACAGCAAATAGAAGTCGTTAGAGCGAATAGAGCCAGGCACAGTTTAAGCACGCGGGAAATGTGATAACAACTATTACACAATTAACGGTTCATCTCATGATAGTCCCGATGCTGATCATGCTTTCACTACAAAGCCATAAATATTGTTCGACACATTGATATCCCCCACGCCCATCACTATCCGATACACTCTGCTGCAGCTGCCCTGGACATTAAAGAACTGGACGGTGTTGGCTCCACGGGATCCGCGCCAGCTTATCTGCGCACCTCTTGGGATGAACACGGTTCGACAGCCCTATGCGGTGGAGCCGGTCCACGTTTAAGATCCGGCCTTAAGCTGCCAGGCGGTAGCGGGACCTAGAGTTGTGAAATAGAGGGCCTAGGTCGACAATTTCATAATCACGGTAGGTACTAGAAGTGAAAGTTTTCGTATGAGAACCAAGATCCATAAACGGTAGAGATGGCTTACAGGGGTCTGTGCAGTTAATGATATTATCGTAGATAGTAGACGAAGGACTTGAGAAATGTAGAATAATTTACGTTCCGCACAAAGTCGTCCACATTCCATTGCCTTATATTAGTCTCGGGGTTTATTGATGTCACCATGGGGAGGGCCTCCCGGGGGCTCCCGGGCACCACAGTCACAACTGCTCTAATAGGTCGGCTGACGCAGAGCTGTCCGAAACCAGCACGAACGATTTACCAGACCACAAATTATATCTTGCGATGGCAAGGACTGGTCGGACGAATGACGCGGTTCCAGATCGATGGAAACAACTGGTCGCATGAACGACGCGGTTCCAGACCGATCAATGGACCGCCGGACCTCAAAGAGAAGAACCAACTTTCACCCAGACTGACGGGTGGCAAACCACAGGCACTTTGAAACTCAGTGGAGTTCCATGTGGGGTTCGTCAGATATAATACTCGGTAATAATGTTAGAGCACAGGATATCCATGTAGGTGTACAGAATATGGATAGACGAATGATTTTATTACCCCCCCGTGGCCCGCAGAAAAAGCATGCAGGCGAACACCAAATTTGACATCATAGAGGTTTGTCGCTGTCGTTGTTCCATCGCTGTTTTTGGGCCGTTATAGATGACCTTGAATCCGAGCTAATAGCTTGATAAATGCTATCAACCCCCCTGAGTCTGTGACATACATTGAATATCGGTCCATCGGTCCCACCTGCACCTGTTGCAATTCTATAACCTCGAGATTATGATCAGGCGCTATGATGGCGGCTTCTTGTGAACACAACCGTTTTTTCCGTATAAAGGTAGGACATCAGCAAACGGTAGCCTACCTTATCGACCCCAGTATACAAACTTTGACTATTTCAAAATGTCAATGAAGTATCCAGGTAGTATTTGCGTAGATATGTGATGTAATCTTCAGCAAGATTCCATCTAGGGTCCAAGAGTCATACCCCAAACCCCGTCCCATTTGGGGTTGGGATGCCGAGACTCATGTCACGGCCAAGATCGATCTTGTTCTCGGCCACTGTCGTTTTGAGTGAAGGGATGGAATACAGTACAATACCTATTAGTATCCCATTGCAATTCAACTGAATTTTTGGTTCCCCCTCGGCGCTAAATATGATGCAATCAACCTAAATCGTTATACCGCTTTAGAAAACGAGATGCGCGCTGTCAAGTTCAGCGAGCATGGCTAGCCGCTTCTCCTGTTTTCGTGTAAATATTCTCCTGTATTAATATGGTGCATATGTGCAGTGTTGTCAAATGAAGATGTCAAGGGAGTAGTTTTTCTGGAATGGGAGTAGGAATTTGCTGATTCGGACATAGCCATCGACGCAGTGTGTTGTGATATAAGGCTGCAGCAGATCAGGAACCAAGCCGAACCATCGGAATTAATCCCGAGATATCTATACGAAGAACCAAATTGATGTTCTTCACGTTGTATATATATAGCCTAATGTTTCCCTCCGAATAACCACACAATTCATACCTCTGAACTACAACAGTAGGGAGGCAATGTGTATGTATCGTAGTGGATTCTATGTACAGAGGGAAGGCAGGGAAAAATCGAGTCCTGACTGCGTGAGCGGTTTCGGGATAGCTACAGAGACAAGCAACCAACTCTTGCAAGGAAGTTTTACGAGAGGAAGAAACCTTCAGTAGTGTCGGTGTAGATATCACGTGAGGCAACCCCAATAAAATTACTCCTCTACGAGTCGCGTTGGCAGCGGCCTTCGGCCGCTGCCACGGGGCTCGGTAAGTAAGATAGTACGGATGCTGTGCCACAAAAGGTTCCCTCTATTAGGCTCTACATACGTGATTCTCCAACGTTGCATGGCGGCTGCACCAGAGTCGACTCTCCCTCCATTATTCGTGTTGTAGTTCAGAGGTATGAATTGTCTTATCATTCTAGTGGGAAACATGAGGCTATATATACAGCGAGAAGATCAAGTTGATTTCCAATCAACTTGGTTCTTCGTATACATACTTCGGGATTAATTCCGATGGTTCGGCTTGGTTCCTGATCTGCACCAACCTCATATCACAACAATTCGCACTTAGAGAGGCAGTAACAATTCGTGATAAACGACGTTAGGAGTGTCTTGATCTATCTCATTGGGGTCTCGGAGAATACGCATGTCAACAGCAGAGCGGACGCGGGATAAGCTAGTGTAAAGTTGCCCATGGGCGAACACTGGCAGTGTGAGATCTAAAACAACGCGTTCCAAGGTGAGTCCCTGACAGCTATTGAAGGTGGTGGCATAAGCTAGACGCAGGGGAAATTGTCGCCGTTGCACCGTCCAATTTGCACGGTGAGGCCGGAACTCAAATGTGATCCGTGGGAGGTAGAACGTCGGCGACTGGGTATCTGGCGTGCATGCCCGTTGCAGTAACCGCACCTGTACCACATTTGGTAGCAAGTTAATTACCTGGACCCTCACGTTTTTGACTAAATTCTTCTCAAGGGAGAGATTCCGCATCACGCTAGCGATGGCGCCAATCTTGAGCGAGAGCTCATACGAAGGTACTCCGGGCTCGTTCAATACCGAGAGAAGATCCGCCTCTGCCCCTGTGGGAAGATTGAAGGCGTAATCGTCTAGTTCTTTAATCGTATCATGACTGTAATAGGTTTCTGGCGCAGCGTAGGGTTAGCCAGGAGAGCGCGAAAGGTGAGTCTTGCCACCAAGCGAATGGCATCAGATTACACGGAAATGTCACTAGCAAAAATGGGAATACCTGCACGCCCCGGTAACCGTTCCAAGATAAGCCTATTAAACAGATCAACGCGGGCATTGAACGGGCTAAGGAAAGCGCGTTGGACGGCAGCAGCGGAGGTGGAGACGGAATCTTGTGGGAAGAGGAAGTCTGCCGCAGCGTTAAGGTCGTCAAGATGCTGCAAGTGACGGAGTGGCACACTTGTTTCAAAGGGATGTAAACCATCTCCTACCTGATCTACCCATCTTGCGTATACCGGATCCCCGGCCTGTCGGACTGGACTGGTCAGCCGCAGGACCTTGAAGTGGTTCCAGAGCGTGGAGGTGCGAATAGAGCTGTTGAGGGTTGCTATAGGCCCAGAACTGCCGCGGACGACCGGTGCCACCTGGCGAAAGTCCCCTAGCCCAATGAGGAGTTTTCCTCCGAATGGAAGGTCATTGCTCATAATATCTTGAAGGAGGTGGTCTGCACACTCCACGACCGCCTTCTTCACCATAGGAAGCTCCTCCCAGATCAGGAGTGAGGCCTGGTGTAGGAGCTCCGCGCGACCTGAGTGAGTGCTGATCTTTGATACCAAGCCCGCGTCGGATTCTTGAACGGGAATACCAAAGGCAGAGTGGGCCGTGCGACCGCGCTCGTAATGGATGACGCTGAGGGCAGTCGTTCCAGTCACGCAGACGATGCGCTCGTCTGCCCTGATGCGATCACACATGGCACTTATCAAAAATGTCTTCCCGCGACCCGCACGGCCGTCGACGAAGTAGCAGCCCCTAACGTCCAACTGGCCCAGGAGATGATCGAAGATGCCTTTCTGACCCGAGTTCATCCTACAGTACGCCTCGTCACTTGTCATGCGGATGGATGATAGTTGGTTCGCGAAGAAGCTAAGTTCCAAATCCACCTCCGCGCAATGTCGAGCGGGTTCTGGTAGGCCACACTGTGTTAAGGAGGATCCCTGTGCTGCCAGATAGCGAGCTAGGTCTTGCAAGGCAAGGTCCGTAGCGTGGGCTGTGGGGTGGCGTAGTCTGTAGTCAGCGCAGAGGTCGCTCTGGAATCGGGCCCATAGCTCCACGGCTGGAAACGGGAGGTCAGCCAGAAGCTGGGTAAAGAGAAAGCGGAGTTGGGAGGGGCGGCTGTAGGCTGCGATCGCTTCATTCATCGCGTACACGGCCTCATGGTCATCCTGGAAGAGTCCCAGCAAAGTGGCAGCCCCCTGGTATGTGGGATAGCAGTGTCCCCGGATAGTGCGGGCATCTTCGAAGTTGCTCGCAGGTCGCACCTGGAGTTACCGCTCCGCACGAATCGAATCGAATCGAATCTGGCAAAAGTTCGATTCGATTCGATTCGTGCGGAGCGGTAAGTTTCAAAAGCGCCACAGTAGCCTCTCCGCGTGGCAGATGCCCAAAGCCTATAACGTTTTTATCTCCTCAATACATTGCAAGTCGAATTTCCAAATGAGTATATGGACAATCTGCCTTGTAGCCCATTGCCATTGCCAGTGGGAAAGGAGTGCTGCCTTCATCGCTCGCCGAGTCTGCATCAATATCTATCTTGCCAAACAGCATTTCCATAGCTTCAGTATGTATTTTTCCTGGTTGGAAAATTTGTTATTGAAGTCGGGGGTGGTGGGCCGAGGGTGAGGGCTACTTCGCAGTGTCGTTTCTCTCGATCGCCCACCACAGCGTATGATTGCTGCGATAAGCATCAGTGTTTGGGCTATATCTCGGAGGCAAACCCGTCGCGATCGTCTGCACGGACGTTGAGCCAAAAGGTGGCCAGGAACCCTTGTTCGCGACCTGATGACTTCAGAGCCCTGGGGCACCAGCCGAACCCCTACTACAAGCCCGTTCCCCTCCTAGAGGCTCTGAACACCTCGCTTGTGTGGCACCTACATTCCACGGTACCGATGGGCCGCTAATGCGGGAACATTGTGGGCTATCGTGCACGCGGGTGGTAGTTCGGCGTGTTAGCGCCTCACTCGAGAGATCGGCGTGCACAGGCCGTTGGACAACCAGAAGAAGCGCGATTCTCTGGCTGGTGGGGTGTTCTGCCTGGGCACTCAGTCTGGGGCCGCACCGCCCCCAACGCCGGCCCGCAATAGCGACCCTTTTAAGCGCCTCCTGACTCGCCTGCAGGATGCCATCTATAGTAAGCCCCGTTTCATCGATACAGATAGGATTCGGCGCAATCATGGGAGTGACCTCCGGGGCTTTTCAGCGTTAAGAAACCAGCATCTGCAGGAAGAGACACAGATCATCAGCACTCAGGATTTCGAAAACCGATCATCCCCAGAAACAAACGCCTTCGAGAGCCCCACTCCGATCGTTCCATTGGACTGAAAAGGCTCCATCTGCGATATCATTGGCTGCCACAGACTCTTAGCCTGGATTGGACCACTCTCAATTGCGTAGTAAGCCCTTATCAAAAGTGGGTAGTTAATTAGTCGGCATTCTTGGTAGGACCCATAGTTATAAGGCCCAATACTACGCTGAGACGGATTCTCCCCGATAGCTATGAGGAGGGTCTGCATGCGTCTCCACGGTCGGAGTCTGTGCTCAGCTGCGAGTATTGCATAGCGCATCCGTGGCGGATGGATCAAATATATCGAAGATTACTTTTTTTTCTTTAATGATGGGGACAGCTATCGAAGCTACATGATCACTGGGGGGTATTTCTCGCACCCAATTGATATAATGCTTCCTCTTGAAATTTCGGTACTTTATTGTTAACAGTGCAGCTATCTTCCTACATCGGGCCCATACTAGACCTCTGCGAAACCTCCTAAAGTACGTTCTTGAAACGAAGCATTACTAGAATCTTTTCAATGTTGGCTTTAACGGCCCAGCTTTTTATTATGCCATTTGAAGTTTGCGATTGCCAGACTAATCCATGTCGTGCCTAGACATCCTCCGGTAGCCAGCACGTGCAGCAAGGTTCTGCAAAAGTGCAACTATCTCGATATTGCCTCTTTTCCTGGCTTGGCCTAGAGGAGACACACCATTGTCGTCGGGATTCCCGAGCTCCAGATCCGGCAGTTGCGCCAGTTGAAGGATCAGTCTTTTGTTGCCAGTATTTGCTCCATGCCACAGCACCGAACGGCCTCTTTTATCTCGCTCATTCACCGAAGTCTTCGAATTTAAAAGTAGAAGATCTATGATCTCGTTTCTCTTGGGGTCCAGGCCATCGTAGGTTGTGGCAGCTAGAAGGAGTGCGCTATTCCCCGTGGAATCGAGATGGTTGACGTCAATTCGCGTGCTATCGAAGAGGATTTGTACTGCAACCGGGTCATCGTATATGACAGCTAAATGAAGTGCGGTGTATCCTCGGCTATCTTGAATGTCGATATTGAGTCGCGGGTCTGAAAGAAGCATCCTCAAAATCTCGTATTGTTGATATTCGAGAGCTATCAGGATTGGAGGTTGGGCTTTCGGACTCCGACCATTGACATCAATATCATGTCGACGAAGTAGCTTTCGGGCGGTTGACAATTTTCCTTGCATTATAGCAAAGGACAGGGCGGTCTGTGCCCAATGGTTGAAACGAAAGACATCTAGAGAATTGTCGCTTGGCACCCGATCAGCTAGAATAGAAGCTCCTTGGAGGGCTAAAAGCATCAAACAGTTTAGCTGCCTTGAGTCGTCCTTATGCTTGCATAAGTGGGGGTGACTCACGAATGACTGGTGTGATGTAAGCCATGTCTTCAATAATCATAAGATTATCTCGCTTTTCTGTTACCTCGATGATCTTGATTCTGAGAGAGGATATCTAGTTACTGTAATGTGCGATGATCGATCCGGCACAAAGACATCAGGGCAGTATTTATAGCGAGAATTTCTTGCGAGCAGCTTTGATCTCGAAAATATTTGATCTGCATTCAGATATTTGTATATACGAGCTCCCGTAGTTGGGTTACTCGAATATTCAGCTCTACTTAGAGTTCATCGCATACTATTATGGACCTCTGAAGTCCTCGGAAGAGACTGATTCTAGGAGCAAGCGGTGTATTCCTAGGAATCTAGTTCTCAAGGGCTCACGTATGTGTAGATGCGGATTGTCTTTTTCAGAGCGCTAACAGCCAAGAATAGGAAACCACAAGCTGATCTTGGACACACGACTTAGCGCGAGCAAAAAGAATAAAATTAGCTTCCTCTTGTTGAGAGTAGCAGAGATGAGCTATGTGGGACCGTGCCCTGCACAAGTCATGTATACTGAATGCCAGTCCCCGACACATTTTTAGCAGAATTCTCAGGACCTTGGTGTGAATATTTCCTTGCGCGAGCTCAAATCTGATGGCGAGGCAGACATTCTACGCGCAAAGAATGACGATTCGCCTCCTGGGTTATCCTAAGGCTCTCCTGACGTTCAATGAAGCGTAGCTTTGTTTAATGATCTTTATGTCGCCATCGACGTCCCCTTCTCACCGGGACACATTTATTCCGATTCGTTTGTCATGGTTCCCGAACCATCCCTCCAAGCACTGCTGATCACAATGCTTCTATCTGCCTTGATTGCCAGCTCACTTCCTTTGTGGGTGTTCGAAGATAATTGGCCATTTTATAAGATGGACTTGGCACTATAAGTCTTATCCTTTCTCCTGGAATTCTTTCAACAATTCCTTCTATGCAAAAGTCTTGTTCTAGCTTGATAAAAGCCAGTTCTATGCTGATGCTAATACTGGCCAAGTTTCTCCGCATCGGTTTTCAGCAGCTCAACAATTCTTTCATAAACCGATCGACGCGTGTCTTATTCAGGATCTATTCTTTGACATCAACGGCATTGAAGGTAATAATTACATTCATTGGGACATTCATGCTAGATGACATTCATTTCATCCCTCCCTTCCTACTTTTCTTGGATCATCCCAGTGAAATTGCATGGTACCTATGGTTAGTAAGAGGTGCCACGCAGGGTCGGATGAAGCTACATGTTATTTTGACCCATTTATCAAACATGGGTCTTATATTGCTAGGAGCTGCTATCCTTGGCGCGATTTCAAGAAATTGGGAAATTGTGCTCGAGGTATTTTTCCACCATGAAAACTTACATTATGAGAGAGCTGACAGAAGCTAGATCCAGCTCATAATCTGTACAATGCGGGCGATATACAGCCAGTCTATTACGTAAAGTTCAATGAATGGCTACATGTACATTGGCTGAACCAAATTAGGTCGTTCCAGAATATCAGGAAATTCAAATTGCCAATGATGAATCAATCATATCATTGACTCCAATAAAAAGTGTTTATAAATGGAGAAGGGGGCTGAAGTGGCTGTAAATCTCGGTTGTGGCTTTTCATGTAGACTAGATTTACACCACGAAAGAATACTGTATATCATTGTATATTAAGGGGCCCGGTGAAAGACAATCCGTGGAGAGCTGCGATCCTACTATCCCAGCCCGCTTAGCTGCATTGCCTGTCTCTAGGTTGACACAGGGGATGTTTATAACTTCAGATGATTACACAGTAATTCTATAGCTCGTGTGCTGAAGCCATCTATAATCCACAAATCTTCTAGAAGCGTAAGAAAAGAAGATTGGTACAGGAAGATCAAGCGGGAGAACAAGGAACTATATTGTGAGATGAGGCTGTACAGGTCAGGAAGCAAGCCGCACCTTTCGGAGTTAGCTCCGAGATGTCTATACAGACAATTTGTTTTACAATCGACTTTGCTCCATGTTGTATATATCGCCCCATATTTCCCTCCAGAGCTGATAACACGATTCATACCTCTAAGCAACAGGAGTCTATTCTATTGAGTCAAATTTCATATCCGAGCAGTCTTCTCCAAGTGGCAGACTGAAGGTGTTAGTGCCTTCGAGTCATTCCCGGCACCGATTGGCCCATTATTTCTTGACATATATCATTAGTATCCTAGCATCCAATGATAGCATTAGTATTGACGACCACAGGTCCCCAAAATTCAGGGTCAAATATTAGCCATTAATTCACTCAGGCCCTATGAGTTTGTGGGCATTCATGGCTTTGGCGGGCTTATACCTCTTTGCAGTGGTATTCAGTTTCACATATCCACTTAGGACCCGGGAGGTTGATGTGGGTATTGCTGACGGGCTATCCAATTACGGTAGGCGGAATGGTAGGCTCAGGCTCCCAGGAGCTCATAGCCAAATTTGAACCAATGATGTCTACGGAGGCTTTGT